CTGGTGCGCGTGCGACGGTCGAGAAGCGGTTTACGTGGTCGGCGACTGTCGCTGCGTACGACGAGGTGTTGGGCCGCCTCATGAACGTGCGACGAGGCTGAGTTTTGATATATAACACTATATTTGGAAAATAGCTATTAAACTGTAGTGAGCGTATCTTTACACTATATATGTAGACCAAATCATTTTCATTTTTTGATGTCTATCGGCCTCATGGTCGGGCATCGCTGCTTGCAGGTAGGCAGCAACAACGTGCGTCCTTTCTACCTTGAACCATATACGTAGCTAGCGGCGCTCTGTCTCCACGTGGCAGCCACGTCGCTGAACGGGACCGCGCGCCTCCGCTTTCTGTGGCCCCCGCCCAACTACCTTCTCGAAGCCCCCAAAGTACCCATTTCGTTTACACTCGACGGGCCCAAGACCGACGGCTACATTCGCTTCTCGAGCGCCAAGCTGGATGGCATGATCGACATTCACACGCCCGAAGTGGCCATCATGGACATTGAGCCGGGCACGCATTGGATTACGGCCGAGGCGCTCACAACCACGTTGACACCCATCGGACTACCGGCGGTGCTCCAGATTGAGCGCATTCTATCGCGCTCCGAGCTCTACCGAGACGCTTTGCAGCCAAAGACGACATTGCTTGCGCTACCAGCGGTCGCGGCCGCGCGGCCCGCAGCGCGTCGGCTCTGCTTTGTCGCGTCGGCGACGCCCATGGATGGTCAAAAGCGTCTCTGGCTGCGTCTCATGGCGTCGCTGCGTCGCCACCCCACGACCACATACTCGTTCCACGTACAAATTCCCAAACCGAGTGCTCGTGTTGCAGAGGCCGCGTAGATCTTCATCTTAGAGCACGAGTCACCCAGTCGACCCAACGTCTTCTCGCCCGAGGGGCTGTCCGTCACGTACGCGCCCATGACCGTAATCAACCCATGGTCGAGATGCAGTGCTTTTCGACTGCTGCGTAGGTGTCCAAGGAGACGGCTCGGCAGTACAACCTCACGTCCAATGTGACCATGGGCCAGCTCGCTGCCTTTGCTACAGCGCTCGAGAAAGCAGATGCACCGACATACCTCCATGACCTCTGGGCCGCGTACTTGACCGCCTTTGCGCCTTGCAAGGGCGCCGTGCTCGTCATGGCCAACTCACGCGACTATGGGGACACTGTCTTGGCCCACGTCGGGCGTGCAGTCGGCGTCGCCGGAGTCGTTCTGGAGCTATCGAGCGTCTTTCCGATGCCGATTACGGTCGACGTGCTGCTCTCGCCGTCCCAGTACGCGCTCTCGCACCCGAGTGTGGTGACCGCCGTTCATGCGACGCTGCCGCTCGTGGTTTCGCCCGGGGTGGACCCAACGCTCTTTGCTCCACCAGCCAACGCACTGTCCAACAATTGCATTGTCGTCGGCTACCTCGGTCGCATCGCGCCGGAAAAGTCCCTGGGACTGCTGGCACGGGCGATCGAGCTGCTCGTCGCAAACGACCAAGGGCGCTGCCTCGTGTTTCGGTGGGTCGGCGACGGTGCAGATACAGCGCACTACAAGCAGTACCCTATCACGCTCCTTGGCACCATTCTCAACGAGGCGACGCTCGTCCTCGAGCTCCAGTCGTGGGACGTCGCTGTCCACATGGGCCTCCGCGAGACGTATGGGATCGCCAACATTGAAGTCATGGCCGTCGGTATACCGCTCGTGTGCTTTGGTGTGGCCGGTCTCACCGAGTACGTTCGGCACGACGAGAACGTCG